TTCAGTTCCTCTAACATACCAAGCATACTGCCTTAGGGGTCTGTGCACTCATTGACCCCTGTCTGGAATATTTTTCCCCTAGATTTATGCATGATTCATTCCCGTTCCCCTGTCAATACCGTGTTTCAGTGAGGACTCTCTTGAACATATCATTCAAGTTAAAATCCAACTCTGCTTTCCAAACTGCTCTAATTATTCCATTTTTCATAGCATTTATTGTGTTCTAATATGCTATATAAATTACTCATTTATTATGTTCATCTAGCTGCTTGAATGCAAGCTCCATAAAAGCAAGTTTTTTTTGTCTGTTTGGGTTTTATTTGTGCCTGTTTTGTTAACTGATGCATCTCTGGAACCTCTGAAAGTGCCTAGCACATAATAGGCTCCCAATAAATATTTGTTGAATGAATGAAAGCACAAAAATATGAAGCCACTCTGACAATTTAAAGCCATGATTTAGGCTTTTACAAAATTACAGCATTAATCATTTTTGCTATCTTTCAGTTATAGTAGGTTGTTGAAAATCACAAGTGATTATCCCTTTTTTGTTATGATCTGTATTTTCTGGGTACTTTGAGATAAAATATTCCCTACAGATACTATATAAGACATTTTAGAAAATTTTTTATACTGGGAAAACAAATTAGATAACATGGAATAGGTCTTATAAAATTTTATTTTTTCTCTTTGATAACTCCTTATGTTAACAAAAATAGGAAATGATGACTATATTAGTTTCCTGGGCCTCTATAACAGAGTTCCACAAACTGAGTGACTTATAACAACAGAAATTTATTGTCTCAAATTTCTGTAGGCAAGAAATCTAAAAATCAAGGGATCAGCAGGGCCATGCTCTTTGAAATCTGCAGATGAGGATTCTTCTTTGCCCCTTAATTAATTTCTGTTGGTAGCTATTAATCCTTGGTATTCCTTGGCTTGTAGATGCATGACTCCAGTCTCTGCCTCTATTGTCACCTGGACTTCTCACTGTGTAACTGTGCCTTCTCATGGAGTTTTCCTCTTCTTATAAGGACATTAGTCATATTACATTAGGGCCCACACTAACAACATCACCTTCACTGGATTATATCTGCAAAGACTCTATTTCCAAGTACAATCATGTTCATAGGCTCTGGGGGATAAGACTACAACATATATTTTTTGGGGGGACAAAATTGAACCCATAACAATGTTTTTCTAATTAATAGGGCTATTTCTTGATGCAAAGCATGCTTTGAGCATGGTAGGAAACTTCCTGTTGTTCCATTAGTTGATGCTGCCAGAGCAAGATCCGTGTTGCTCAGCTTTTGTGTAGTCCCAGCCAGTACTAATGTGAATACTCTAATTGTTTCAAATATCTTGCCTCCTTACGTTTACCACACTCTTCTTTGATTTATTCAGATGCCCAATACCTTGACTCCTCTCTTTTCTCCTGGTCTATCTCCTCTCATCTGGTTTCACTTTCCTGTCCACTTAAGTACTGTGGTCCATCACTTCTACTCCTCTGTTATGAGAATCTTACTTCCCTATTCTTTTTGTCTGTGCACTCTGCCTGAAAACTCTTGACTCTGGATACCTCCAATCATTTGATACCTCTCTTGGGTTATCAGCATATTTAGGGAAATCTCTTAGCTTGCAGACTTGTGCCAAAGCAAAGTCACAATCTCTGATTTTAGATGGCCCTCAAAATACTTCTTAAGGATCTTTGTATTTTCCCCTGGTCAACCTCCTCACTCATTTGCTGTAGTAGCCATTATAGATCTTCATTATAGATACAAATACCTCTCCTTCTCCCTATGTCCCACCTTCCTTTTTCCTTCATTATTAAATACTTTTTGAACAACTTACCATATGCCGGGAACTTGACTATGAGCAGGAGATAGTAGAGCGAATAAGACCAATTATTACTTTGTGTATCTTACCAGGGAAGTTTATTTAATATACTTTTAGCTCAATAGGCCAGATAAAGAAGTAAACAGATGTTTGCAGTACAGAATGAGAAATGCACAGTGCTATAGGAGCTTATAGGATCCTGTTGGACCATAGAAAGTTTCCAGCAAGAAGTATTTCAAAGCTGAGAAATTAAGGGCTGGGGTGGGGGAGAAACATTTGAAGCAGGGGAAAATCATGTGCGAAACCTTAGGGCTGAGAGAGCTTCATAGTTGCGGGGTGTTACAAATTCAGTCTGTGGAGCTGGAGCATAGGGTATGAAGGATGCTGGGAGGAAAAGGGCTGGGTATGGGTAGGGGTAAGTGAAGGTGATGAAACAAGCAGGAGGCAGATCCAGCTTCCTTCGTTCTAGGCAAACAACATTTCCTCTCATCTCAGAAAGAAAATTCTTACCATGAGGAGTATTTTCCTTGGTTTGTCTTCCCTCATCCCCAAACAAAAAGCACACAAGGACACAATGACTTAACTGTATTCACATCTCTTCTTGCATCTTTCCTTCTGTCTCCAAGAAAAGTCTGCCCTTCCTTATGCCATTCCCTACTTTGCTTAGCTTTAGATCCTGGATCTAGGTCAATTTACCAAGCTGCTTGGAAAGCGACTTTGCCAAATGAACAGTTGATCACATTTTCTTATCTCTTTCAGCTAATGATAAATTTTAAACCAAGTTGTGTTGGAAATCTTCTAAAAATTTCTGCAAGCTTTTAATAGAGTGTTTTTTTTTTGTTTTGTCTTCCTAACACCGCTTTGAGTAATAATAAATTGCACTACCCCAGTTGTCTGTTTCTGGGCAGATAGGGTAAAGAAACTCTCCTACAGGAAAGTCAGAGCAGGAGGCTGCGTGGAATACCTTCTTCCTGTAGGCCTGGGGTCGTGAGGCCTGTGGAAGACAGAGACCAAGAGGCAGTGAGAGAAGGCTCGTTGATATAGTTTTTCTTAGAATATACCAGTTGAAAATATTTATACTCATGAAGAGATATTCTAATGTAAAATATTCTTTCTTATTTTATTAAATACATCTTTTGATATAAATATAATATAAATATATATATGCACACATGCACACACACAGAAACATACTCTGTTTATGACCCTGAATCTCATTCTCCTTTGCTCATTCATCTTCTCCTGCTTCTGAGATCAATATCTCAGACTATTCGGCGTTCTAATTCTACTCTGCATCTTTTATTCATCAGGCATATCCTTACTCCACCCCACTTTCTTCCAAAGCATCACCAAGGAGCTACAACAAAGATAGATCAAACATTCTTTGAAACTCTTTTATCTTCTACATGTGAGTGAAATCATATGGTATTTGACTTTCTCCATCTCACTTATTTCACTTAGCTTAATAACCTCAAGTTCCATCCATGTTGTCGCAAATGGTGATATTTTGTCTTTTTTATGGCTGAGTAGTGTTCCATTCTGTGTATATATACCACATCTTCTTGATCCATTCATTCACTGATTGGTACTTAGTTTGCTTCCAATTCTTGGCTATTGTAAATAATGTTGCAATAAATATAGGGGTGTATATATCTTTTCAAATTAGTGTTTTTGTGTTCTTGGGATAAATACCCAGAAATGGAATAGCTGGATCATATGGTATTTCTAGTTTTAATTTTTTGAGAAATCTCCATACTGTTTTCCATAGTGGCTGCACCAGTTTTACATTCCCACCAGCAGTGTATGAGCGTTTTTTTTTTCTCCTTATCCTCTCCAACACTTGTTATTTCTTGTCTTTTGAAGAATAGCCATTCTGATTGGTGTGAGGTGATATCTCATTGTAGTTTTGATTTGCATTTCCCTAATGATTAGCAACATTGAACATAAACAAACACATAGGTACAGAGAACAGATCAGTGGTTCCCAGAGGGGGATGGGGCAGGGGGAGGGCAAAAGGTGTATGGTGATGGATGGAAACTAGAATTTTGGTGGTGAACATGATGCAGTCTTTACACGAAATATAATGGTATACACCTGAAATTTATATAATGTTATAAACCAATGTGACCTCAACTAAAAAGAAATTCTATTATCAAGACAAAATAAAAGCAGAATGGTTAAAAAGTAAACACATTTGAGGAATGGTCATTTGGTGAATTGGCGGCTGTCGCTCTAAATTTAATATTTTTTGAAACCCACTTAATTATTTAATTGGCATTATACATTAGATCACATCCTCCCTTATGTCCCTATGATCCAAACTCTAGGTAAAATTTTTATCAAGTTTTTCTCATCAAAAACATAACAAAAAAGTTAGAGGTGGTAGTTTTCTTACTTTTTTCTGTTCCCACTCTCTTGGGCTTATCTACTATTATAGCCTAAATAAACATTTGGTAAATGAATTAATAAAACAGTATTGTGTACTTTAAGGTTGATATCTACCTATACCTTAAAAGGTCACCTAATTCAACATGGTTTTGAACCTGGCTTGCTTTAGAAGAATTCCCACGAGGTGATGGAATTTTGAGACTGAGCTAGGATGCCATTGATAGATGTGCATAACTCAGAACTCATGAGGCAGAGGTTTTCAATTTATCCTCATTTATTGGAGATTTTGTAGACCAGGCATTAATCTAAGTTTGGAGAGGAGTCAAACTGATGCTATGGAGCTTGGAGATAGAACAGGTAGGATGAGAATGTGGGGAGTCTTTCTCTTGGCAATGCAAATGCTCTGAAAATTGCAGTTAGAAGAAGATGACAATCAAATTTAGGGCTGATGAGATGACAGATTTATAGGTTCATAGACTAGAGAGAAACTTGATTTGAGGTGGGGACTTCTGGAGAGAGATCACGAGTTGGGTCAGGAAATAGGCTGGCCAAAGGATTCACTCTGACATTGGTTCTGCAATGTCTGTGGAGATAACTACAATTATTATTATTATTCATGTGAAATTCGCAAAATACATATTAATCTGTAAGAATTTGAAAGGGCTGTGATATAAACATGATTACAAGTTTTATAATTTAAAGGAGTTTCAGTTGAATATTTGTCAGCCATTGTTTGCTAAACTGAGACTTATTTTATTGTACATATATGTATTTTGCAGGCTTAGAGCAATTTGTTGGAAGAATGCAAGATTTTCGGTTATACCAAGTGGCACTTACAAACAGGTAAGCAGATATGGTATCATAAAGCTCAAGAAGTAGAAAGTTAAATGCTGAATTCGCTTAAATAAGAGTAGCATGAAGATTATAGCACTTTTCATCTTTACAGCATTTGGCAAATATCGCCTAATTAATGTTTGCAGTGCCTGCTTTGGCTTATTCTGTGGTTGTTATTCTCTACTCAATATTCTATTGGGTAACTTCTCATAAAATGAAATTGATCAAATTCTTTACAAAGAATTTCTTCTAAGAAAACTAGATTTCTGATCAAGTTGTATTATAGAATTTGGAATACATTTGTTTAAACGTTCTATAAAGTAGTTTCTAATACTTTAGAAACTGCTATATCTGCCTTTTAAAATTGCTTTCTGAATTTATAAGTACTAGAGAATGTAGAACAATGAAAATGATTAATTATTTTGATATATGAGAAAGTTTCAAGAGACTGGGCTATTAGACGTGGAGACAGGATAAGTGAGTAATTTGAAGTATTGTTACGTGTTTTTCTATTTCCGGTGAACAAATAATTATGTAGACTTTGACTGGCTTTAATGAAGTATTTCCTCATCTTAAAATAGGTGGGAAGTCTTTCTTAGAGGTTCTTAAAGATGTGTAGGTTTCCATTCTGTTCAGAAAAGTTCAAGTGAAATTTTCCTTAAGATGTCCTCTGAATTTCTTTCCCGAGTTATGATTTGATGATATGATAGAATATTGTTGAATGGATGAATTGATCTTATTTACTTCTATCAAAGATCAAAAGGAATAATGTTTATTCATATTTCTTCAAGGGAGATGTAGATTAGTATGGTGAATTTCCAAATCACCAGACTGGCTCCTGTAAATTTGAGAAGCGTTGCTCTTGAGGTAATGCTATGGTCAGTGATATGTCCATTAGCAATAAAAATATTCTTTTTATTAATCAATATAATCAAGAGATGCCCAAATAAAGGATGCTGTAACACTGGAGGACATTATTGGGGAGATTTACTTCCACCAGCCTCATTATTTTTTAAATCACCTTTCTCAAAAATTCTGAAGAGCAGTGTTGCGGTAATTTTGGAGAAATAAATTTTTTCTTGGGAGCAAAGATTTCAATGGATAGTCACTTTTGGACTGATATCAATTTAAAACCTAGTATCGGGGCTGGCCCCGTGACTGAGTGGTTAAGTTCGCGCACTCCGCTGCAGGTGGCCCAGTGTTTCGTCGGTTCGAATCCTGGGCGCGGACATGGCACTGCTCATCAAACCACGCTGAGGCAGCGTCCCACATGCCACAAGTAGGTGGACCCACAACGAAGAATGTACAACTATGTACCGGGGGGCTTTAGGGAGAAAAAGGAAAAAAAAATAAAATCTTAATAAAAAAAACACCTAATATCAATTGAAAAATATCAATGAGATTTAAAGAAGAAGGTGTGACTTCCTGTGATTGAGTGAATGGAAAAACTGTGACTCCATCCACCATTGCCACATGGGGGTCTGAGAGAAGGCCTAGTCTCTCTAGTTAGACTTGGGTTGCTGATAATTGGCCTACCTGAAATGTCTGGAAAGGCGTCATACGGACGAAAGCCTATAAATAGAATGAGTAATTCTGATCTAGAATAGGTATATTGCCCTTAATGGAAAAATTAAATATATCTGCCTGGAATTGGCATTCTTCTTTGAATTTTGGCAGCTGCCATATGATCTGAAGCCATTAAAGCATTTTAGGGTGCCAGAATCCATACTGATGAGTCACAGGAAACCCTTGACAAATGGTCTTGGCCTCAGTCCCTTTACCTCAAACAGTAGCAGATAAAATGATACTTGTTTTCTTACTTTGTTTTCATGGATGAATGGGAGACCCTGTCTATAACTCTCACTGTTTTCGATATATTATTGTTGACTCTCAGTGGTAAGTCAGTTTAACAACTTAACTGAAGGTTACCTTTATTTTTATCACAAGTAGGCATAGTAAAATATTAAGATATTTAAATCAGTGTCTTGATAATCAGACAAGGGCTTGCGCACACTTCTTGTAAAATGTTAACACTTAAGAATTTACTGTTTTTGATAGCCCTTTTTATGAGAATGAGTATGTTTATTTGGCCAGGAATGAGATTGATTTTATGTTCTGTTTAGAAAATTATTAAATTATTTATTTATTATTTATTAAGTATTATTTAAATTATTAAAACTAAACTAAATGGGTGCTATGAAACATTAAAATAGAGATATTGTTTTGTCGCAGCTCACAGAGGTTCTATCATTGTTGAGCTATTTGTCCTTACAATCTGCCTCGATGCCCACAGAGAGATTCTGGAAGTCTTTTCTGGAGATCTGCTGAGATTGCATGTTCAGTCACATTGCCGCTGCCCCAGCAGCCACCCTCGGGTCCATCCCTTGGAACAGCGGTACTGCATTCCTAATGACGCAGAAGACACAACCAATAATAGGGTGTTACGGCTGAATCCTGAAGCCCATCCTCTTTCTTTTGTCAATGATAATGATCTTGGTACTTCATGGATTTCACATGTGTTTACAAACATTACCCAGCTTAATCAAGGAGTGACTGTTTCAATAGATTTGGAAAATGGACAGTATCAGGTAATTTGAAACAACGGGGCATGTACTAGTTTCCCATGGCTCCTGTAACAAATTTCCACTAATTTAATGGCTTAAAACAACAGAGATTTATTCTTTCACAGTTCTGAAGATCAGAAGTATGAAATCAAGTCATTGGCAGGGCCATGCTCCCTCCAAAGGCTCTAGGGGAGAATTCTTCCTTGTCTCTTCTGGGTTCTGGTGACTCCTTGTGTTACTTGGCTTATGGCAGCATAACACCAGTCTCTGCCTCCATTTTCTTTCTTCCTAGTTTCTGTGTGTATGTCAATTCTCTCTCCTCTTTCTCTAATGAGGACCAGTGTATATGAAGGATGATTGCGTCTTGAGATTATTAACTTAATTACATCTGCAAAGACCCTATTTCTTTTTGTTGTTGTTGTTAGGTACCAAAGAGAATACAGCAACAATGAAAGCATTAGAAACAGCTCTAAAGATGCAGTGACGATATGACTGTTATTATATTAGAGTCTAATATTTAACTGTCTTATCTTTTTACTTATTGCAATCTTTGTGAGGGTAGAGTTGTATCTTGCTTATTATTACATCACCCCAGACCTATCCCAGTACTTTTCAAATAGTAGTTCCCAGCAAATATATATTTTTATTGCAGTAACATTGGATTATAACATTATATAACTTTCATGTGTACATCGTAATATATTTCGAATTCTGTGTAGATTACATCATGTTCACCACCCAAAGACTAATTACCATCTAGACTCTATTTCAAATAAGGTCACATTCATAGGTACTAGGGGTTAGTACTCTGACATGTCTATTTGGAGACACGATTCAACCTACTACAAGGTGAAAACTGAATTAGGCAATTGAACATTACCTCACTAAAGGAGTGTATTATAATGTATGAAACAAAAATGTTTAAAAGAAGATATGCAGAGCTTAATTTTTTAAAGATTTGTATCAAAATCATGTTCTTGAAACATTTTTTTTCCAACTAATTTTACTGAGATCATAATGGTTTATAACATTGTATAATTTCGGGTACACATTGTTATTTATCAGTTTCTGAATATACTTCATCATGGTTTTTATCCATCACCATACATATGTGGCCTTTTATCAGTTTCGCTCCCTCCCCAACCCACTTCCCCTTTGGTAATACCTAATCTATTCTATTTATCCATGTATTAACATTAAGTAGAAAAATTTAATAAAAACCGGGATGCTTATTCTAAATAACAACTTAAAAAGAATACATATAACAATTATTTCACATAAGTAATATTCTTTTTTCATGTCTTTATTTCAAACTTAATTTTAATTTTCACTTTAATTTATAAAATCCTTGAGAAGAGAGACAGCTATGCAAGTATAGAATGTGTTGCCATAGGGCTGTGAAATTTCTCGATGTCTAATAAATATTTGATAATTATCCCTATGAGGGAGTAGCCATCAACGATTGAATCTAAGAATTCCATGGTTTGATTTATACTGATGGGTCAAACTTAAAACTTCAATGACAATAATCAACTTATTCATTTTCAGGTGTTTTATATTATCATTCAGTTCTTTAGTCCACAACCAACAGCAATAAGAATTCAAAGAAAGAAGGAGGACAGCCTAGATTGGGAGGATTGGCAATATTTTGCTAGAAATTGCAGTGCTTTTGGGATGAAAAACAATGGCGAGTTGGAAAATTCTGATTCTGTCAACTGTCTTCAGCTTCCCAAGTATGAATATTTTTGAAACAGTTATCTTTGAAGCCATTTAGGAGTTAATTTTAATAGACTAATGGGTTAGTAATAACCTATAGGTAGACTAACTCACTAGTCTGGCAGAGACTTAGCCCCATACTAACTTTCTTGAGGCAGATTGTTCTAAGACTCCTCCCTACGTTGAGTTTTAAACTATGTTTAAAGTTCTCGTAAAAGACTTTAAAATCTCTTGCTTACAGTCTCATTTATACTTTATAATCTGTTTTTCAGATTGTTTAGCAAGTTATCTATATTAATAGAATTTTTATGTCCTCAAAGAAATGTTTTACTATATTTTCTATGATAATCCTATATTGTTTGCATATGAAATATGTTTGTTTTCCCAGAATGAAGAATTTAAACTGTTCCTAATATTGTGTTATAATTTCTGTTTTGACAGAAATGTGAATAGCTTTTCATGATTTCAAATTTCTTTCTTCAACAGTTTTACTCCATATTCCCGTGGTAATGTCACATTTAGCATCCTAACACCTGGACCAAATCGTCGTCCTGGATACAACGATTTCTATAATACCCCATCTCTTCAAGAGTTTGTAAAAGCCACGCAAATAAGACTTCATTTCCATGGGCAGTACTACACAACTGAGACTCCTGTCAGCCCCAGACACAGATACTATGCGGTCAATGAAATCACCATTACTGGAAGGTAGTGTTCATTACCAAGGTTGCGATTGCAGTGTGCAGTGTGCCTTTCACCATGAATCTGGTTTCAATAAGATTTCCGTCCTACTTACTTAAAAATACATTGACTGAGACATTAGGTCAAGCCAGATTCAAAGCTTCATGTGTTGAAATGGTTTCCTACCCTAAGATTTTTTGGGGAGATTTGTATGTATCTTTCCAATTTTCAAAAGCTATTGGGTTTAGAAGTGATGATATCTTGAATCCAACTTAGAAATAATTCACCAAATATTTAGCTTGTTTTTTTTCTGGAATATAATTTTCAAGTATTCTTGAAATCAAAGAGAAGAAGCTGGATTTGTAATTGTAGCTACTGTACCAGCTAGTTTATAAGTACTGGGCTTGGTCTCTCTGATAGCACAATTCCTGAGTTTATGAGAAACATTTGTTTTCCTTTAAAGGAAAAATCTAATATGTCTTAAGTAATTTATAAATATCTGACCATAATTGAGGACACGGCTCACAGAATTTAAATACATATATAGCTGGAGAACTACAAGGCAGCATACTCGTATGGAAATGGTAAATATATAGACTATATTTAGAATTGGGTTGTGCTAGAAGAATGATATGCCCTGTAGATAAGTACACCTTTAAAAGCAGACCAGAATGCCAATCTATAAGTGTTATTTGGTAAGTAATAGCATAGTAAAAAGTAATATTGGGCCAGCCCTGGTGGCCTAGTGGTTAATTTTGGCACACTCCTCTTCGGCGGCCCAGGTTCAGTTCCCAGGTGTGGACCTACACCACTCATCAGTGGCCATGCTGTGGTGGTGACCCACATACAAAATAGAGGAAGATTGTCAACAGATGTTAACTCAGGGTGAATCTTCCTCAGCAAAAAAAAAAAAAACATAATAGGGGCTGGCCTGGTGGCATAGTGGTTAAGTTTGTGTGCTCTGCTTTGGTGGCCCAGGGTTTGCAGGTTTGGATCCCGGGCACAGACCTACACACCACTCATCAAGCCATGCTGTGGCAGCATCCTATATACAAAGTAGAGGAAGACTGGCACAGATGTTTGCTCAGGGACCATCTTCCTCAATCAAAAAGAGGAAGATTGGCAACAGATGTTAGCTCAGAGCCAATCTTCGTCACACACACACACGCACAAAATTTTTTAAAAACCCATAATAATAATAATAATGCTATTAAATAGTCATCCATCTAATTTTGGAAAAGATAATTTGAAATTTGTTAACTTCATTCTGCAGTTTTTTCTAAATCTTATAGTCTTAACAGTGTTTTCAATAATAGTTTCAGTAAATGTCTTCTCTGGGACAGTTTGTGGTTGATATAGGTGTAAACAACCTAGAATAGGCTTGAAAATTACCTTCACAATCGATATGGTTTGGCTAGCAATGACACTCCTTTGAATACTTCAGGATTAGTTAAAAACTTTCATGAAAGTCCACATGATTAAAGAGAAACTGATTTTTTTGTTGATTAAGATTCTCATCTCCCTTGATGGATTCATACTTAAATATGTTTGCAGTTGAGTTGCTGTTTCTTAGGAGTTATCTGATGCTCGTGTTCGCAGGTGTCAGTGCTATGGTCATGCTGATAACTGTGACATGACAAGCCAGCCCTATCGATGCCTCTGCTCTCCAGAAAGCTTCACCAAAGGACTTCACGTGAGTTCTCTGTTTTATGTACGGAAATCTCAAATAGACGGGGAGGATGGGGGATGGTAAATACAAATTCCTTAAACATAATTTTGGTCCAACTTCTGGGTATGAAGAAAAATGAATTGATATGAATTTAAATGTCTATTATTTCAGAAAAAAATTTTGTAGAGAAAAATAAAAGCCATCAATAAGTTGAAAATTTCATTTAAAAAAAAACTCTATGAGAGAAATAACAACTAAAACTAAACCCAGAGGTTTTGTTTTCCCTTTCTTTTCCTTTCTTTGTTTCATCAGTATTATCATAGTTTATAAAACAACTTTTCAGGTGTCTGGATAGATGACACTAAAAAAAAGAGTTTGATTCCTACATCTAAAGGGTATTTACACAAAGGTGTCTATACAAAAAGAAGAGTCTTTAGATGCAGAGAGCTCTTTATGTATTTGCGTCAATCAAGTTCAATTCATTGCTGATATCAGTAATTTTAAGTAAATAATTTGAAAATCTGTAGTAAAATGACTTAGGAGTTATGTTATTTTAATTTGTCTATGATGGTCGGGGGAAATTTCATAGTTGAAGGGGACATTTAGCTACAGCTTTAGGAATAAGAGGTAAATGGAAAACGAATTTGAGAGAGATTTGTTGATCGAAATATCCCACATTAACATCAGTAACAGCTGATATGAAAGAGGGTACAGCAGCAGCAATAATCATCCTATAATAAAAATAAATAGTATGGAGTCTTTAGTAAATGGTGTTTGAGGCAATTGGCTGCCAATTTGTAAAAAAACAGTTAGAGCCCTACCTCATGGCATGTATAGAAATCTAGGTAGCTTGGAGATTAAATTGTAAAAATAACTGTAAATTTATTAAAATAAAGATTAGAACAATATTTTTAAATCTAAAGCTGGGGACCTTTATAAGCAAAATATATGAAATACACATACAAGCAAAGAAACCTATCAGGAGCCATGAAGGAAATTATTGACATATTCTGTCATATAAATATTTAAAATTCTGTACAGTGTAAGGACTAACATAATCACAGTGTATCGATCAGTGATGGGCTGATAGAAAATATTTACATTGCATTAACAGGTAAAGAGTTAAGATCCCTCTAAAGAGGAAAAGCATACTGTTCCTTTACTTATACTACTTATAACACTTCTGACACCAGATGTGTGGGTTTTTCCATGCCAGCAATTCTCCATTTCTCTGTGGACACCACCTGGGTGTCTTTAATTTAATTCTGGCACTAACCTGAGTTTGCACAAACCCCATGGATTAAGAGCTCAGTCCCACAAGACAGCCCCCACTTCAGATGCCAACTGCAAGTAGTGGTTAACTACAACTTCTGTTTGACTTAGCTACAAATTGGGGGTTCCCATTACCCCCTACTTGTGTTCAATAATTTGCTGGTATGGCTCACAGAACTCAAGAAAGCAGTTTATTTGCTGGCTTACCATCTATTATAAAAGGATGCAATTCAAGAACACCAAACGGAAGGGCTCATAGGGCAAGGTATGGAGGAAGGGACACAGAGTTTCTGTGCCCTCTCTGAGCAGGCCACCCTTCCAGCACCTCAGTGTGTTTAGCAATCTGGCAGCTCTCTGAACCTCTCAGGCTAGAGTTTTTGTGGAAGCTTCAAACATAGGCATGATTGATTAAATCATTGGCCATTGGTGTTTGAACTCAACCTCCAGCCCCTCTCCTCTCCCTGGAGATCTAGGGGTGAGGCTGAAGGTTTCAACCCTCTAGTCACGTGGTTGGTTCCCTTGGCAACTAGTCCCCATTCTTGAAGGGTTTCCCCAAATCACCTTATTAATGTAAACTCAGGTGGGGTTGAGAGAGGCTTGTTATGAATAACAAAAGATAGTCCTTTCACCTTCATTGCTCTGGAGCTATTTCAGAAACTGGGGACAGAAACCAAATATTATAACAAAAGATGCCCTTAACCACGCTTATCACTTGGGAAACCACAAGAGTTTTGGGAGCTGTGTGCCAGAGACCAAACATGTTTCTTATTATGTCATAATCCCTAATACAAAAGAACACTTAAAAACAAGAAAAATACAACCACCTAATAAAAAGGAGTAAATATATGAACAAGCAATTTACAAAGGAAGAACTAATAATTCTCAATAAACGCATGGAAGTTTACCTAACTTCAGTTTTAATCAGGAAAGTGCAAATTATAATAAAAGTTTGTTTTTAATGTCAAATTAGAAAAAATTTTAAAGATCGACAACATTTAGGATTTGTGAGAAGATGAACTTTTGTACCTTGTTGATGAGACTGCCAATTGGTACAATGGTTTTGAAGGATAATTTGACCATATTTAGAGTTGTGTGCAGGAAAACAATGATTTGGTCAAGATCGACCACATATATGATGGTGGTCCCATAAGATTAGTACCATATAGTCTAGGTGTGTAGTAGGCTATCCCATCTGGGTTTGTGTCAGTACACTCTAGGATGTTCACAGGGTGACAAAACAGCCTAACAATGCATTTCTCAGAATGTGTCCCCATTGTTCAGTAATGCATGACTGTGTTAAAATTAAAGTTACAAATATAGTGAAATACATTATATAAGTTGCCATTCCAAAGAGCAGCTCTTTATGACAAGAGTCACTGAAGACTCTGGTAATGGTTATATTTGTATCTTTTGTTATGTAAATATAAGCTTATACGTTAGTGTATTTTAGCTTTACAATATAGCACTGTCTCATAGACTCCTGTATGGCTTGTGAACTTCCCTGCCTCCTGGACACTGCTCTGTCCTTGTGTTTAGTTAGTCGCTTCACTTCTCTGTGTAGTTTGTTTTAGCATACCATGAGACATCTTGTTTTTTTAAAAAACCATCCATCAAGGTTTTGGTGAAGTTCATTTCTGTCTCCTGAGATTCTTAATCTGATCTGATTTGTTGTTGACTATGTTAGTGCATATAGTTCAATGGCAAGAATATTACCTAAAATGCAGACGTCTTCTAGCACACTTAGGATGTAGTGCTTATCCTGTTTCAACTCAGTCTTTGATTTGGTATGGCCTCCTTTCTTTCTTCCCATGTGCTTAAACCCAAACTTTCATGTTCTACTTCAGGTGTCCCTTTGGACTTACTCTCCAGATCATTGCTTTGCATTGCTGACCTTTTTGTTTATACGTTTAGTCTTCACCACTGGTTGATAATCACTTTGAAAGACGGAATCCTTTACATTTTTTGGATTTTGAACATCTGGAGTCTTTGAATTTGGTTTCATTAGTATATCATGAGAAAAAAATCTTTTTAAAAAGCATTGATTTTAATGTGTTTGATTGTTGGCTTATCATTTTGTCACAGAGGAAATTAATTGGACTATGTTGATTGGTTCACTCTTTATTCAGCCATAATTGTGTGTTTAAGTCTTTGGCAATTTGATTTGTTCTTGATTTTTAAAGTTAAAGTGACATTTGTTTTACTTTTCCTAGTGTCTTCTCCTTTTTATCTTTTAAGATGGACACTTCTTTCCTTGCAATCAGTGATTTCTTTCTTTAACATCACCCCTCTTCCGAAAACCCACCAATGGCCCAATTAAAAAGTGCTCTGTGGTGAATTTAGTAGGGCAGCTCAACTTGAATCTATCTAGTATATGTAAACTAAGGATTGGCTAATACTTTTGTATGATATATTGTTTTCTGAGCTTCTTTTGCTTTATTCAACTAGTTAGTTCCCACCTCCCAACCCCACCTCTTCTTCCTCTTGATGCTCCATCCAATTTTTTCCCTTTTCTCTCTCTTTAATTACTCACAGTTCAGTGACTGATATTATATGATTCTTGGGTGATTTCATGCTTCCCCTTAAAAATAGAGCCATTAAATGAATCAAGGCTTGTGATTGGTTTCAGAAGTCAAGTTGGGATTTTCAGACTCGGTCTCAGGTGGTGACTGTTGGCTTACGAACTAGTGAAATAATTAACTACAATTTAGATTGAGAATACATTTTAATGATTCTTATTTAGACATTAAGTTCCTTCTGAAAACAAAAGTTGAAAACTTGACTTTTCTGTTATTTTCTTCCTTGACATATTTTGATAATTCATGAGTTTAGCCATAAATAAAAAAACAACAAAAGAACAGCAAAGTTTGGCAAATGCAGCTGAAGGGAAAAAGTCAATAGACTGTTAAGTTGAATGATTTCTCAGTCCTATGATATTTTCAACAATATGTTGAAAATGAAAAATGATTTTATAAAGCATTCATAAGCATGACCTTCTCTTTTTGTTATCATTCAAAGTATTTTAATGAACATGGGACTTACGTATCTGAAAATGTTGTCTTGCAATAATTTGAAAATATACTTATTCGAATGCTTTTCACATTATTCCACTTTTTAAAATAATTAGTTTTAATACAAGCCATTCATTTCCTATTGGAACCAATGTTCTTTTTAAAGATCTGGACATAATCCAAAAAGAATGTCTTCAATTTCACAGTGTTATGCTAACCATTAATAATATTACTCAATAAACATGGCTTTTCTGAATTATGTTACAGACATTTGGCAAACAGATGAAAACGTAAGCCTTGAGAATATGCCAGTTCTTGGCAATTGTCAGTCCTGTGAGAAAGTGTTTTTAGCGAAAGTGAAAGTGAATGAAGTCAGGAGATAGGATTAGAATGGTGAATTCAGAAGCAAGTTTATATACTTAGCCATTCTAGGAAATTTTTTGATGAAACTTTCTTCAGTTGTTTATAAAGTTGATGTCACAAACTGGTGGTCTTCATGTGGTTTAAATAGTTTTTTATTTAATTTCCAACAACAGTTTTCACTTTTTTTCAAAAAATCTCTGGCTTCTCTTAATTAGAAAGTCGTTCAACACTATGTCCATGTTCCCCTACAGCAACAGCTAGCTAATTCAGGGTAGCAATTACGCTCTTTAGAGGAATATCATTCTTCCAGTTGTCATTGAATTCACTACAATCCACAGCCTTATATTGAGTGAGCTCACTTACGTTTACTACCTAGCTTGA